TGGCGGGTGACAGAGATTTGTCCTGACTGTGGGCAAGGCAGAAAAACTCAAGCTATACCTTTTGAACTGTCCTGCTTGTCCACAACCAAAACAGTTGCGCTGTCCTACATTACCTGCAGCCCCTCCAAGGCCACGGGGTATGGCCACAGCTAACACCTGTCCTGTTATGCGATTTCCATCTACATCTCTACAGATCCTGATATAATCATTCAAACTCTTACTTCTATGAGATCTTAAGGCTTCCTTACAATATTTATTGGCATTTTCAAAAGCCAGCTGTTTTACTATTGGCATGGCTTGATCAGCATCCCTGAACAACTTTCCAGCTAATTGTAATAAGCATGAAACAAAATCGTGATAAACCTCAGATGGGCCCTGAACTACTTGAGACAGTTGATCACCTGCTGCTTTATTAGGCAATGCTTTCCCAGACTGGATTGCGGCAGTAGCTATTTGGGCATATACCCCAGGATCATAAACAAGTTGTGCCGCTAAGGCAGCGTACCCTCCTGAGCCGGTCAGCATGTCTAAATTCCTTTCAGGAAACTGGGCTTGTGCATTTAAACGGGCAATTTGTATACACTTTTCCTGATACGCTCCTCTCCACAGTAAGTAATCACCTCCAGACAAAATGGCACGGCACAGCTGCTGCCAATCGCTGGGTGTTAGGTTAGCTGCCTGGTAAGGTTCTACCAAAGATAAAGTAAAAGGAGCCAAGGCACCGTAGCTGGATACAGCTTCCTTCAACTGCCTCATTTCCTTGAAGGTGAGGGCAACATGCTCTCTGATTCTCTGACCAGGGTTAGCAGGATCTTCTGTCTCTATGACCAGGAATGCATGGGCACCTGAACTTTGGAAGGCTACTCCTCGATACTCTTTTACATTTGGCCATTTCCAATCCTCCGCCTCATAGGCCGGAGGTAGAGCGTCCTCTTTGCCTGAACTGTCCTTTGGTTTCACTTTACATTGTTTTAATTTTTTCTTTAACTCCTTGATTTCTTGCTTTAATCTCTCCTCCTCTGAGTCCTCTTCTTCTGATTCTGACAACTCGGTCTCCATGCCCCATAACATGTCTGATTTCTCATCAACAGCGCTTACAGATTTCTTAGTTTCTTCCTCTTGAACCTCATTAAAAAGTCTAGTAGCCCCAGCTAATTGTTCTTGTACTTTAACTTTCTCTGTTAGCAAGGCATCTTTAACTAATCTCCATAAGGAAAATGTAGCTATAGGTAAGTTATCTGGGCCCCTCTCATGACCACCAGGGCCAGCTCCACTGCCTTCTCCAGGCAAGGTGCCGGGCCCTCTCTCTAGATTGCTGTCAAGGCTGTACAAAGGGGGTGGGTGTCAATTCTCATGCCCTGTTCTCATGCCCTCAGGACTGTCTCTCCTGCTTCCCCAAGCAGTGGTCAGCTCTAGTTTGCTGCCCTGTAGCGGTGCAGGGTCTGCTCTCCTGTGTGCTGCATCTTATGAGGGGCTAGGCTAGTTCTCTCACTCTTATGAACCCAGGGCTAGCTCTCCTCATCCGCCACAGGTAGGAAAGTGGGGGTGGGGAAGAGAGCATCTTTTCCTCATCCATGCCACCACATGGCAGACGAGGGGGCCAGGGTTGTCTCTGCTGTTCTCACATCCTCAGGGCAGCTCACCTGCATCCCTGAAAATAGGGTTAACTCTAGTGTGCTGCCTAGGTGAGGTGAATGCCAATGGTGAGGAGTGGACTCATATTTCCTGATTGCAGGGTCCATCTCTCCTGCTGCAGTATCTAATAAGGGGCAGGACCAGCTATCCCAGGGCCAGTGTGGGTTGGTCACAGGTCAGCACAGGCCTCAGATTTCAACATATTTGGTTCCTAAGACCCCGGTGGTAACACGGGCTATGGGCATCAACACAGACCCCAGGTGCAGAATACAACAGACTCAGATATGACCCTTGGCAGCAGCCTGGGCCTAGGCATTTCTATGACCTTGGTGACAACACAGGGCACTCAGATCAGTATGGCTTTGTTAGCAGCATGGCCTTTGGACACCAACATGTGTTCAGGTGGCTGACTAGACCCTGAGTATCCACGTGGGTCCTCAGCAGTAACAGGGGCCACAGACACCAACGCAGACCCTTGCTGCTGTAAAACCATGGACCCAGACATGGCCAGGGTAGCAGCCCTGGCCTGGATGATACCATGGCCCTGACTGACAGTGAAGGCCATTCAGATTAGCATGGCCCTGGTGGAAGCACAGACCCAGACACCCACATGACCACATATTTCAGCCTAGACCTGGGGCGACTGTGTGGCCTTTGGTTGCAACATGGATCACAGAATTCAATATTGATACCTTGGCTTTGGTGGGGCCACAGACCCAGACATGGTCATGGGCCACAGTCCAGGCTCAGATGTCACCTTGGCCCCAGGTGGCAGTGCAGGTCACCTGGTTTAGCATGTTCGCTGTGGCAGCCTGGCCCTCAGATACCAGCATGGCCCCAAGTGGCAGCCTAGACCGTTGGCATCTGCATGGCCTTCAAAGGTTCCTGGAACTATGTATATCGACTCAGACCCTGGCTACTGCAGGACCATGGATTCACACATGGCCCTCAGCAGCGTTCCTGGCCAGGATATACCATGGCCCCAGGTGATAGTACTGGTCACTCAACTTGGTGTGGCGTGGCAGTAGGACAGTCCTCAGACATTAACAAGGTCACAGGTTGTGGCCTAGACCCTGGGGATCTACGTGACTTTTGGTGGCACCATGGGCCACTGAACATCAACACAGATCCTGGCTGTGGCAGGGCCATAGACCCTGACATGGTCCTCAGCAGCAACCTGGGCCCATATTTTCACCATGGCCCCAATGAGGCAGTGCAGGCCACTCAGATCAGCATGGCTGCCATGGTAGCACAGCCCTCACACAAACCTGGCCCCAGCTGGCTGCCCAGAATGGAGGCTTCTGCATGGCCCTCAGTGACAACAGTCTTCGGACCATCCTTGCTAGCTGCATGTGGAATCCACTATCTAAACTGAGGTTGGACTCTAATGGTGGCCTCAGAGTCATCAGCACGAACAGGTCTCCCCCAATCTTTACCCCTTTTTGTCTAAATAAAAAGGAAGGGTTTGAAATCTAACATAGCAAACCATATACAATAAGAACAATCAATAGGTATTGTTTAAATAGAAGGGAAAAGTATTAACTTTACCCGATGAAACTATGTGCAATAAGAACAATTATCAAGTAAGGATTATAATTACAATGTCCAGTCCATTTGTATTTGGCAAATTTGGAAAATTAGTTTATTATCTATTCCATCTTAATGAGTCTAAAGTTTTATAACTAAACCATTTTTATCATAACTTGTATTATGATCCTAAAAATACATTTTTTGTACCTTAAAACTTTTTTTTGATATACAAGTTAACCTTTTATATCTCTCAACCTTATGTACTTTACATCTCTTATATAAGTTTGTCTTTTAGTTTGATAACAAGGAAAACTCTATGACTATCTAGTCTTCAATTCCCCATCAGAGACACAAGAAGGATAAAATGTTACAACAAACAACTTCCTGGGTCCTCTGGAAGAGCAGTCAGTGCTCTTAACAACTGAGCCAATTCTCCATCTGCATGAAATGCAATCTTATGTCACCTGGGTTAGAACGGAAGTCATCAAGGAAAGAATGACTGCTGGTGAGGAAGTAGAGAAAGGTGGGATGCTACTGTTGGTGAGAGGGGAAAGTGGTACAGCAGATTTCTCCAAAAACTGAAGACAGAACTACTATACACCCTTCTGTGCACATACAGCCAAAGGACATTATATTCTACCACAGAGATACATGAAACCCCACATCCATTGCTGTTCCATTCTCAGTAGATAGAAGATTGAATCAGCCTAGATATGCATCAACTGATGAATGGGTGATGAGAATGAGGTGTGCGTACACAACAGAATTTTATTCAGACATAAAGAGAAATGAAATTGTGCAATTTTCAGGAAAGTGCACGGGACTGAAGAATATTCAAATTAAAGGATGTAACTCAGACTCAGAAAGAAAAACACTGCTTCTTCTCTCTCATATGCAGATCATGACTTACTAAAAAAAAAAGGGCTCTTGAGAGGGCAAAATCAGAGACTCTCTAAGGGGAAAGTAGGATAATACATGTGACATGAAAAGCAGTGAAAGGAATACTGTAAATGGAAAGAAAGGTTTAAGTGGGGAAAGAGGTGGAGAGATAGAAGAGAAAGGGGTGGGGAAAGTCAACCAAAACTAGTGATGTATGGAAAAGCCGTTATGATGGGTCATTCTTGAGAAACTAATTTAAATGATTTTTATGAGGTAAAAAACAGAGTTTGAATGAGACATGCTGCATGGGAGAATAAAGCTGCTCCCAGGTGAGATGAAGATACAAGTGCTAAGATCGGTTGCCTGTCTACAAGCTGTTCATTAGGGTATGGCCATAAACCCTATGAAACAATATAGGCAATTTCCGCTGCTGATAAGCTCCTCCCTGATGGCTGACTGGCCCTCAATGTGCTAGGAGAAGGAAAAGAGAAAGGGGTGTTTAAGGGGGTATTAGAAGCAGCAAAGACATCCTGTGTTCATGAATCAATTGGCTGACCATCATCTTAACCTACAGATTCTTCTACAAGGCAGTACTTCCTCAGTCAACCCTGAGCATACAAACTCTGCAGAGACTGTCCCTTCACTGTATGACAGAATACTGCTGTAGGACACCAGGGATAAGAGGGACTGCATGACAGAAGACTGCTATGGGACACCAGGGGTAAGAGGGACTGCATGACAGAAGGCTGCTGTAGGACACCAGGGGAAGAGGGACTGCATGGCAGCTGTGCAGCCTCTTTCCTCTGTTGGAATTATCTGTGCAAAAGAATTAACACACAAGAGAACACATTCTCCCCAAGAGCCTCCAGAAGGAATCCAGTCATCTACAACCATCCTGAACCTCTGACGTGCAAGGAAACCCATGTGTTGTTTTAAGCCAGTACATTTAATTTTATGAAAGAAAGCAGGAATGCACTTCTCCACTACCAGTAATTATGCAGTAGAATTTCCCCCACATATGCAGAACTCACAGGGATCTCCATATCCAGAGTGCAATAGATGAGCCTCACCTGGGAAAAAGAGCCTTACTCCATGGTCATGACGTCTCCCCACTACAGAAGTATAAGTCACTATGTTTGTGACAACATGTTTCAGCAGCCAGAGAAATCAAACAGAATCCTACACAAGCTCAGCTGCTCTCTGAAGGAAGGCTTACATACATAACCTTTCAGGGAATCTCTGTCAGCACAGGAGACACAAGATACAAGGGGGCATCCTTCTCCACAGAACCAGAGGGCCACAGACAGAAGCTAGATAAGATGAATACATGATGGGGGATAATAAGGCCCATCCTCAGTGCAAAAGATCCTCAGAGCATATTTTAACTACAAATTCTCTTTCCTTGTCCAGGATTCTCCTGCAAACACCAGAATTATCAGGGCCTTTTATGAAGTGTCACTACTGATTGAGGATTTTGATTTCTTGGGGCTGGAAAGACAATTTGGTGGTTAAAAGCACATACTGCTCTTGCAGAGGACCCAAGTTCAGTTCTCAGTAGCCACATCAGGTGGCTCACAACTGCCTGTAACCCCAGATCTAGGGCATTTCAAGAGTTCTTCTGACCTCCACAGTCACCTGCACTCAATAGACTGTATTCCCTACACCCACATGGAGGCTCAAAATTGTTTGTAATTCCAGTCCCAGGGGACCCCATGTCCCCTTTACCACCAGGCATGCATGCAATTCCAGTCCCAGGAGACCCCATGTCCTCTTCACCACCAGACATGCATGTGTTTTGCACAAACTTACATGCAGACAAAAGCAGTAGATACAAAAATCCTTAAATAAATTTTTTAAAATGATATTTCCTTTTTAACTCAAAAAATGTTTAACTCAAAACATAATGCACTATCCCTTTGTGTTTTTCATTTCAGAATTCTCTGTTCTTTTCCTTAGCCCATTCCTTTTTTAAAAAATTATTTATTCATTTATTATTCTCTCATATATTACTTCCCAACCACAGTTTCCCCTCTTTCCTTTCTTCTCAGTCCCTCCCCTCAGCTCCCATCTCCCCCACATGCACTCCTCCTCTGTTTCTTTTCAGTAAAGTGTAGGCCTCCCAGGGATACCAAGCAATCATGGCATAACAAGTTATAATAAGACTAGGCACACACCCTCCTATCGAGGCTGGATGAGGCAACTCAGCAGGAGGAAAAGGGTCCCGAAAGCAGGCAGAAGTGTCAGGGATACCCCCATTTTCCCTGTTAGGAGTCCCACAACAACACCAAGGTACACAACCTTAACGCATATCTTGAGGACCTAGGTCAGACCCATACAGGCTCCCAGGTTGTCACCTCAGTGTCTGTGATCCCCTGTGAGCCCTGGTTAGTTGATTCTGTGAACTGTATTCTTGACCCCTATGGCTCCTACAATCCTTTCTTACCCTCTTCTGTGGGATTCCCTGAGCTTTGCTTAATGTTTGGCTGTGGGTCTCTGCATCTGCTCATATCAGTTCCTGGATGAAGAATCTCTGATGACAATTAGACTAGGCTCCAGAACACCATTAGGGATAATTTCATTGTCTCCCTTCCCTCCCTCCCTCCCTCCCTTCCCTCCCT